GGATAGTTTTCAACACAGGTCAACAGGGCTTAATACAGGTACATTTTACAAATATTTCCAGTTTCATGAGTAGGAATGAAAACAACACCTGACCTTAGGTTTGCTTTGAGAGTGAGAGGGCTGTTTTCAAGCATGGAGGAGCATGTGGTGAGCTCCAAGGAGGTCCTGGAGGGGGCCCAAGGAGGTCCTGGAGGGGGCCCAAAGTATGACCTGTGCTGAATGATTGTGAACCTCCCCTACTGTGATGTCTCCTGTGACTTGTGACTATTTTTCCATGGTACATGTAGCAGGTGCCCCTATTTTTCTGCCCTTATCCCCAGGAATCCCACAAGGAAGAGCACCGTGGGCAAGGCTCTCTTTCTGCAATGACAGGGAGTGAAATGGCTGATTGGCTTGCCCATGCAACAGCCTGCCAGGATCCTCCTGGGATGCCCTGTGTCCATGGTCAGACAGCCCAACACAAACAGGCTGCTCTCTTATCCCATCTAACATAAGTGAATTGCATAAATACAATGTTTTTCTTTTGTTTGTTTACTGTAAAATACACTAAATTGGGTGTGCATAAGCAGAGCAGGATGCTTTACATGGAATGGAAGAGAGGACAAGAACAGGCTGCTCAGCCCTCAGCCTGGACAACCTGCACCTCAGTTCATGATCTCTGGCTTCTGTCATCACCTCATCATCCCATCACCACAGTCACAGCACTTTCATAGCAATTAGGAAATGATTTTAAGAATTGTCATATTTTGTGCATTTGTGGTTGTTTCTATGGAAAATGGAACCAGTTGGGTTAAGAATAAATTTTTAAAAAGATATCCAATACCTTCATCTTAAATAAAAACCAAAACTTCATGAATTCATATACAATTCTGTACGTGTGGGTGTCCTTCCATCTGGCTACTCAAACAGTGATGTTTGTCGTCAAGGTGAGAAAATGTTACTCCCAGTAATCCTTAGCACATCCCAGAGCCCATGCTGCAATTATTGGGTTACTTGATTCTCCCCTGGGTCATGAAACAGAAGTGCCCATCCCAAGACCCACCCATACCTGGTGCCCAACAAAGGCTCAGGCTCTGTGCCCAGCATTCCCATGAATATGCTGTCAGCTGGGTGCTTCCTGATGCAGAACCACAGCAGGGGACACAGCCACGCAGTGCACTGGACAAGAACAATCTGGTGAAATGCTGCAGGCCCAGGCTGACTGTGGACTAATATAGGACCTTGGAAGCTCAATACACAGAGCTCACAATTAGACTAATCAGTCCATGTGATGCCCATCACTAAGGACTTCCTACTATTAATGAAGGAAGATGAAGAAAAGAAAACAAAGGTCCACTTAAGATTTGGACCCTAGCTATAATTGGGAGGCACCTTATGTTCTCAGTTTACTTTTTTCTCTTTATTAGTATTTAAAGATACATCTCCTTTTAATGCCTAATTCTTATTAGGTAAAAATATAAATAACAAAAATCACTATATGAACCATAAGAAGCATACATTTCAGTGACAGGTATTTGGTCATTAAGTGTTTTTAATTAAAGCATTTAATTTTAATTAAGCATTCAGTCATTAAATTAATAGTGTTAAATTAATTAAGCATTCAGTCATTAAATTAATAGTGTTAAATTACTTAAGCATTCAGTCATTAAATTAATAATGTTAAATTAACTGCTCAAAGGACTCTGCAGCATTGGAATGATGTGAAACTCTAAAACACACCTCAGACCAAGCTCTAAGGGTCTGCTGTCACTTCCTCTTGTTCATACTCTGCTTTTCCTAGTCTCATGGACATCCCTGCCATTGTTCTTGAGTAATTGGAGGTTGTAAATGCTGTTAAGGAGAAGTATGGGGCTCCTGTGTTCATGGCATAGACACAGACAAGATCTGCTCAATCATGTGTCTGGCTCTGTGGGACATTCCTGCTGAGGAGGAAGGGACCGAGGACAGTACCAGTGTGCTGAAACTCCACTGAGCAAGGCCAGTACCTGAGTAAAGAGCAAGAGCTTAACACATTTTCCCTATTTCATCTCCTGTGTCTAACGTGGTCTATAGGCTCTGAGGAATCAGAAATGAAGGTGAGATGGTCATTTCACCCCAAATATTCAGCATACACCTACATAAGAGGAGTATGAAAATGTAACACTATAGAAATTGAAAACACTAACTTTAGATCCAAAGATATTTCAGTTGAATAGTATGAACATTTGCCTTTCCATTTTAATAATAGCTATTTAATTTTTGCCCACATTTTACACCTTTATCACATATCAACCACACAGAGAGCAAAGTTTTCTATTTAATCTGGATTCAGTGACATTGGATGCACTGGAAACCCCCATGGATCATATTGCTGTTTCAGAGACTCTAGTAAACGGCCAGGTGTTGAAGGGAAAAAAAAAGAGTCGAGCCAACAGCAGCCAAAATTAAATTTTGACTCTCTAGGGTCTGATGAAATAACATTTTCACTGTTTTTTTTTTAATATATTTTTTTTTAGTTTTCAACTGACACAACATCTTTGTATGTGATGCTGAGGATCGAACCCTGCTGCACGCATGCCAGGTAGTGCACTATTGAGCCACATCCCCAGAATATTTTAAGCTGAATCCAGGGGACTTAGCTGCAGGCACATTTTTCAAATTCCTGACTAGTAATGCAGTGCAGACCTGCTTTGTCTCCTCTTGAGATGGAAAGGACTGGGAACCAGAATGCAGGAGGATGTGGCAGCTTCAAGGATATCTTGGAGTAGCAGAAACAGGGAGGTCTGGGCTGGATTATTGGTGCCTACTTGACCTTAAATTTTTGTCTCATCTCAGCCATTCTTTCAGAAGTGGATCAAGTGACAAACTAACTGCTCTGAATTGGGATCTACCAGAAATCCCAAAGGGAAGTACACATGAAAAGGAAGCCCATCTTGCAGAGAAAGGAAAGTACAACCCACTGCTGTTTTTGAAGAGGACAATTTGCCAGCTCTGGTCTGACAAGAGGCCATGTGCCTCAAACCCACACTACATTTCAAATGTGGCTTCAGTTGTTGTATCTGAACATAATCGCAATTCATATAAACACCTATACTCTTTCCTGCTGTCTAAAATAAAATTGTGTGACACTTATGCTGTGGGAAGACTTTGCACATGAACAATCAACCTACAAATAAAACATAGTTTAGCAGTGGCACTCAGTAATCCCCCAAAAAAGATCATCCTCATCCTCATCATCTCCTTCATAAATCTTTTGAATTGCTTAGCACAGATTTAAAGGGACACATTCTCTCCTCTTGTGGATGACAGCTTGTGACAGGAACAGTCAGTGTGGGAATAAGACAAGGCTTTCCATGTGCTTTCTGTTGTGCACACCACAACCAAGCCTATGAACTCATAGAATCATCACTCATCATCTGTCCCTTGTTCTCCCATCTGATAGGCAAACTGCATGCTCCTCCTGACAGTGAAGAAATAATGTTGTGGAATGCCCTTCAGCCACCCTTCGCCTCTTACAGCAGTTACTGATTCACACTGGAGCTCTGTGGATGTAGAACTAAGGAGGGTAGCTCCAAAGCCCCAAGTCCCTAATGTCCAGTGGCCCTCACTTCAGCCTTCGGGTACCAACACAAGCTCAGCTAAGAGCTTCCTGATGCAGACATCCATAGCAGGAAGAGCAGGTATGGAGCCCACTGGACTGGAGTCCTCAAGCCGAAGGGCTAGAAGAAGCATAGACTGATTATTGACTACTGTGTGAACTTGGTGGCTCAATGCCTAGGGCGTCCAATTAACCAAGTAGTTTTGAAGCATATCAAGAAGAAGAGGAGGAGAAAATAGACATCAATAAATGTTCACAGTTTGTATCAATTGCTAACTAGGTTCTTCTCTAATATCAATTTATTTGTAAAGACTTTTTTCATATTAGTATTATTATGGTAAATTTAAGCTACAAAAAGTTACAATTTCACCTTTCTCAAGTATATAGATGTGTAGCATTAATCACATGTGTATTTTTATGACACTGTCACCGTGATCCATCTCCAAAATTTTTCATTTTTCCAAAGTGATAATTGGTTCCAAATGTGAAAAATTCCCAAACATTCCTTCAAAGATTAGCTACAGGCATTGAACAAAGAACGTGAGAAACTAATTAGAAAAAATTAAAAAAAAAAAAACAGGAAGGAAAGGCTCTGCTTTTGTTGGCCTCACACATGTATGCTGGATAGAGTTCACTCCACAGCCAATCAGAGTCCCGGAAGGGCACAGGCTCAGGAGTTTGGCTGTGGTTGCTTGGCAATGACTGTTTCCAGGTGGACCACTACCAAACCATGAGCTCCACTGTGGATGGTGCTGTGGGGAGACTTGGCTCAACTCTAAGGGCTAGATTGGGATTTCAAAGGCAGTTTTAGGCGAGGGGGAGGGAAGATGCCTCTGAGGCCCTGGCCTCTGCCAAGGAGAAGCCTTTTGGCTTGGGAACTCAGGACCAGGGGCCCTCGGGCTCCTCCACCAGCCTGAGGATGACGTGCCTGTGCTTTGGGCAGGGAGGTCTTAATGGATGTAGCTGGCCCAGGTACCAGGTAGGATACAACCAGTGAACAATGTGCAGAAGGCTGTAAGTGTGGGCAGCAGATGAGAAGAACAGGTAATAGACTGGAACCTAGCAGCAAGAAGCCTGAGGCGCTGGAAGGAGGACATGTGTGAGAAGTAAGCAAAGTCCAGGTTGCGCAGCAGGAGGAAGACCAGGGAGGAATGATCTCCCTCACTAAGACACCTGGTGGCACTGCCCCTAAACTGCCTCAGCCCTGGGACCTGCAAACTTGGAGGGGCCTGATGCCTAGTCCACCTTGTTGAGTAGCCAAATAAAAATTGGGTTCCCATCCACTAAAAAATAAAAAAAAATAAAAAGAATGTGAAAAACTAAAAAACAAAGCTCTGAGTATTACTATAAGTGCAGATTAAAGGACTAAATGTTTAGCTTTGCAGAATTTTCAAAGAAACAATGCGACTGGATTCTTCATGTGCTATACTAGACATTTCTGCTGTTTCTGCCACCTCCTCAGGACACTTTTAATGTCTCTGTTTCTCAGGCCATAGATGAAGGGGTTGAGCATGGGGGTGACCACAGTGTACATCACAGAGGCCATTGCACCCTTCCTGGGAGAATATGATGCAGCTGAACCAAGGTACACTCCAAAAGTTGTTCCTAAAAATAAGCCAACAACTGCCAGGTGAGACCCACAGGTGGAGAAGGATTTGTACCTCCCCCCTGAGGATGGGATCCTCAGAATGGTGGAAACAATTTTATAGTAGGAGAAAAGGATCCCTGAGATGGGGAAAAGGCCATATACTGCTCCAAGAAAATACTTGACCAAGTTATTATAGAAGGTGTTGGAACAGGAGAGTTTGAGAAGCTCAGAAGGGTCACAGAAGAAACTAGCGATTTCCATGTCCTTGAAGTTGGTGATTTGTAACATCATTAAAATGTGCAGTTGGCATTCCAAAAGGCTGAACAGAAATGACAACAAAGTTAAGAAGCCACAGAGGCGAGGGTTCATCATGACCAGATAATGCAGGGGATGACAAATGGCCACAAAATGATCATAGGCCATCACAGATAGGAGCATATAATCCATACATGCAAAAATGGTAAAAAGAGACATCTGAGTCAGGCAGCCCACATAAGAGATGGCTCTGCTGTGAGTTTGGATGTCCACAATCATCTTTGGGACTGTGGTGGAGATGAAGCAGATGTCAGTCAAGGACAGGTTGGAGAGGAAGAAGTACATGGGGGTGTGGAGGTGGGGGTCAGAGCTGACAGCCAGGATGATGAGCAGGTTCCCAAGCACTGTGACCAGGTACATGAACAGGAATAGACCAAAGAGGATGGGCTGCAGGTCTGGATCTTCTGATAGGCTCAGGAGTTGGAATTCAGAAACATCTGTTAGATTTTGTGCATCTAGATAACTGAGACATCTTTTGATAAAAAGAGTAAGGGGAAAGAAACATATCAGCAAGCACCCCTCACTCTGTGTACATTTGAATTCAAGTATTCACAAGGGTTGTTCTCACACTGGAGATCCACATGCCTTCAATGTAATTCTCAAAAGTGTACACCCAGTCTTGCATTTTCTTTACTCTCCATCATTCACCCCTCTTTCCACACCCTATTTTCAGACATTGAACTGAGAAATATTAGAAGCCCAGGAGCCGAGGACAGAAGAAGTTCATGATCACAATAAAATAAAGCCTACTGTTTGAAGGAAATTTCAGGAAATAGTACTAACCTTCTAATTAAGCAAAAAAATAATCTTCAAAGTTAATTAAGCACCAGTCCATTTTAACTTATTTTTTGCTAACAAGTTGAGACAAATTTCTTTGACTTATTCCACTTAAGACACCACCTCAACTCCTGACAGTAGGTGTGTCAGGTATCTTCAAAGGGTTTCATCATTCGATGATTTCCTCATTTCCTTCCTCTGGGTTTTAAGCTTGCTGTTCAAAACATTTATAATATAAAACAAATATTCCAGTCTTTAGAGAACTTCAGATTTCAATCGATACGATTGAGTTAAATGCACATAATCAACAGTAACACAACCAATGGAATAGAAGTAGATGATATTGAAATCATAAATGAAGAGAAACATTTTGAATAGTTTAATTTTATAAAACCTTATTTGTATCAACCCATACAATATCAGGAAATTATCTGCTGTACAAATAAGACTTTTGTTCTTTTTTTCCCCCATCTGACCTGTTAAAACTGCTTAATGGTTTGCAATCTCAACCTATCAAGTTTGCAGTTGAAGATTTTAGCACCATTGAAAGCCCTAGACCCAGATCTCTTTTCTAACCACCCTATAGCCACATCATGGATGTCTGACCATTCCTGAGACATGCACTGCAGTTCTCTTCCCAAAGCCACATAAGGGTAACTTAAGTTAGTTATTTGCCAGTTCCCACTGTGACTGAATTGGAAAACAGCACGAAAATTAAAAAAAAAATAGGAAATAATGAAATACTTCCGGGTAATTTCCAAATTGTAAATATGGGGAAATAATCATGAGCCTTGTATGGTCAATATATGAAATTATGTTTTAAATCTTTCCAATTGCATACTAATACTTATGTCTCACTATTATATACACCTGTGGGTACTTTAGGATGTACTTTAAGACATTAGACCCACACCAATTTAATCAGCATATTTGCATGTGAATTCCTTTCTTACAACAGAAAAGGAAACCACAGTCTAACAATATCCTGGCACTTAGAACATGCTCTAAACTATTAGCTATTATTATAGTTAATAATACCCATGACCTATATTAAAACATACAATTTTGATGACACCTGACTCAGGAATAACATTAGAACAAGATTTGAACAATTACCTAAGAAATTGGTATCTCTGCATGATTCTATTTTCCTGCAAACCTGTCTCCCTAACACACCTACTGTCAGGAAGAGGGGTAATTTTCTGTTGTTATTTCTATGTCAACATTATCTACCCAGACAGCTTTCTTATTAAATATTGCCTTAAAAGTAATTAGAGCTCATCTAACTAGTGGGCAACACAATACTAATTGTCCGTAAATGTACTGCTTTACACTCACTTGTGGTGTGAAGTCTCCCTGTGAAGCACATTTCTCTACTTTAAAGGCTTTATCGGATGCAAAGTATAGGAGAAAGGTCCTCCTTAAATTAGAAAATTAATATGGCAATCATTTCAAAGCCCTTCTGCCTCCGTCCAAGTCACAAGTAAGAATGTCTGGATAACATATTGGCAAGGGATAGTTGTTTGATTTCCAATGAAAATGGCATGTCCAAATTTACTATAAATGACCTGCATTTTGGTCCCTACAAGAATGGTCAAAATCGCCTACATCTTCTAAATTCCTTATATGTATCGGGAAAATGAAGCTCCACGCCCAAGTAGTAATGTGCTGTCCTTGAAGACTCCTGAGGAAAAAGTACACTCACACATTTTTGGTGGGGCTGGAAATTAGTACAGCCACTCTGGTAAGCAGTATGGAGATTCCTCACACAACTGGGAATGAAACAACATACCCAGCTGTTTCAAACTTTGGCATATATCCCAAAGATCCTAAAATCAGCAAACTATAGGGACACAGCTACATCAGTGTTTACAGCATCACAATTCACAATAACCAAGTTATGGAGCCAGTCCGGGTAGCTACCCACAGATGGGTGGATAAAGAAATTGCAGTATACATTCACAATGGCGTTCTAATCAGCCCTAAAGAATAATGAAATTACGATATTTGTTGGTAAGTGGATGGAAATGGAGAACATCATGGTAAGTATAGTAAGCCAGCCTCAGACAGTCAATGTTGAATGCTTTCTTTCATATGTGGAAGTTAGAATACGATAAAGAAAAAAGGGGAATCCCATAAAAATAGAAAGATCAGTGGAGAAGAGGAAGGGCTTTGAGAGGGAGAGAGAAGGATGGAAAAAGGGAGGAAGTGGAATAAAATTGACCATATTATGCTGTGTGTGTATACATATGTGTGTGTGTATATATATATATATATATATATATATATATATATATATATATATGTGTGTGTGTGTATATATATATATATATATATATATATATATATATATATATATATATAAATAAAGATGAATACATCACAGTGAATTCCACCTTTATGTTTATCTATGAAGCACCAATTCAGAAAACAATGAATAAAGAGAAGAAAGACCAGGAGTAGAGGAAGTGGACGGGAGCTATTTATATTCCATGCTTGTATGCTGGAATAAAATTCACTATGATGTGTAACTATAATATTCTCATGAGAAACATTAAACATACAAAAGAATTTTATTTGGAAATACTAAAATCAGTTAACATTTGTTATTACCAAAGGCTAGGCAATATTCTATACCTATAATATATATGCCCTTATTTCTCATCAAATCTCCTGTTTAGGTTTTGTTGAGTTCCTCTCAACAGTGTTTTATAGTTTTTTTTTTTTTTTTAATTTCAGTAGAAAACAGATACAATTTTCTGTGCAACATATTGTATAAATATTATATAGATCATGCTATGTTTTTGTTTTGAGTACAGATATCATATTATAATATGATATTTATACTCAAAAACCCATTATTTTTGGTTTGGTTTTATTTATCATATATCAAAAGATGGATATTGAAATTCCCCAAAAAACAATGGGGAAAAATATAAAACACTTATCCAGATCAAGTGTCCAGAAAAAAAAAATTATAGGTAAGAAACACATGCACAAACTATATAATTACCAAATGAGAAGACTTGAAAAGAAGTTTTTCCACTGACGATATTTAAAATTCCAACAAACTTCCAGAGAGATGCTAATACATCACAGGGAAATGGAAATTAAGGGTAGAATGAGACAGCACTTGATAACACATTTGGAGCTATTTGGTTTATAGGATGAAAATAACAGGCGTTGGCAAGGATATGATGAAATCTGGATCTTTAAACGTTTGAATTTAAAATGTACCATGTAATATTAAAAATAGTTTGAGAATTCCTCAAAAAGTTAAATACCCAATTCTCATGTGAGCCCATGGTTCTACTTGTATATATATTGGCCAAATTATTTTAAAACAATATAGTCACGTATGGCTTAACTTAACAATGAGGATAGATCTGAGAAAGACATTATAAGGACATTTATTTTTTGTACAAACCTCAGGTGTTCTCACAAAAACTCAGATGGATACAAAACTTTGGGGTAATATCATGCAATGGGACCACCGTCATACATATATGGGGTCTGTCATTATCTGAAATGTCATTATGCCGCACTTACCTGTATTCAAACAAATAAGTGTGCATGCTATCCATGGGATCCCTATTCTTAAGAACTGAACCAAGGAATTTACCCCAATGGTCATCATTGGATACATAGATAAACATTGCGGTGCATACTTACACTGAAATATTAGTCATGAAAAGTAAGAAGAGATAGTTAATATTAATCAGTAAAACAGCCAAAAGGAATGAAGAAAGGAAGCAATGTGGGAAGGAAGAAAATATGGAAGAAGAGAAAAAACAGGGGATCACAAAGAATGAAGCAATGTCTCAGCGTTCTCCTAGGCATTTTATCATGATTCATAGGACCAAGCCAGCTTTCAAAGATTCCTTGTCCAAAATCTAATCACTGTTGTTACAAAAGGTAGCACAACAAAGTCAGTAGTCTGTACTCAGTTTCAGGGTCCCATAATACCCCATTCTAATCCAAGTCTCTTTCATTCAGAAACTATGTGAAAGACAGAAAATGTCTCAAAGAAATCTTTTCAGAATGAATAAAGTCACACAAGTCAAGTGACAACCACAGTCATGAAATTATAATCGTTTTCCTTTGACTTGTGTAACTTCATACCAGTTCCTTCAGGAAGAAGAGGTTAAGCACTTTAAGGTAAAGAAGATTCACATTCAAGAGGAAAATGTGGGGCAATTAGTGTCGGCATGTGCCATGATAAGGGCTTTAAATATCAGATTAGAATGCTCAGGACAAAAACTGACCCAAGTAGAAGGCATCTTTAGATTAAGAACCCCATAGATTAAAGACATCTGGGGGGAGAAAACTTACAAAGGATGTACTGATGAAGTGGTTGAGGAGAAACCAATACAAACTCCTATACAAGCAAAGTCAAAGGTGTTTCTGGAACGGAAATAGGAAGAAGCATGTTTTTCAGGGGAGAAAAGGGTCATGCTATGTAAACTCACAGCCTTTGCCTCAGAGACCCAAGCATCCACCTAGTTCTGAGGTCA